TAAGATTAAGATTAGTTAGGAAAAAATTCAATCCTTAGATCAGTAACCTGGTATTACATACAAAAATGATTTTTTGGCAGTATTTCTAAGAGGGACGTCATTATATGCTCTTGATCAAAAATGTTGGTTAGTTGCCCACAATTACCGTTTTTATTTCAACGGAATGGTCGTTAGCTTTACACCACACAAAAAAGTAAAAGCCACGCCTCGCTCTCTCTCAATTTTCTCGTTATCATCATCGTAATTCTTATAATTAGAGCTGCCTAACGAAATGCAAAATGAGTTTTTCTTTGTAGTTACGATGTACATAGCTGCTACAGAGGAACTTTAAAGTACCATATAATGTTGAAAATATCGCATAACAATAGTACCAGCAGAGGTTAATAGACTTTCGAAAACCTAGGAAAGCAACTCATATGAGATCTCTATTTGATGTGCAACTAGTCAGCAAAATCATTAAATAACAACATAACAAGAAAAGCTCTACAATTTCACTGCTTAAAGTTTTCAGAAAATTTGTTAAACTTCAATTGTGCTCCAATGGATCGTTTAAGAACATAGAAATAGGTCATTATAGATTTGTTTCTTCACAAAGTTGGGTTTCTTACTTCGATCAGCGAAGAATAGGAGTAGATTCACCAGAAAAGCAAAAACATTGCATAAGCGCTCGTGTACGCTGAGATTTAGTTAGCGTCACTGCCCCATAAACTGCGCTATTCTTGTGCTATGAAGATGTACTCACGAATCCATTTCATAAATTGTTAAATGATTTGTTCCATTGAACGGCAGGTTTTCTTACGCAGTTTTTTTCAATGTATCAGAAGGACCCAAAGTTTTAAATTACATTGCGTCAAAGCTTCTTTAAGCTTAACGAATTTGTACTATTTTTCTGTTGAAATAATAGATTGGTATTTACTTTAACAATGGTAAGGTATTTTGGTTGGTAGAATGTCCTGGAGTAGGGTCGACAAGGACCACTTTAAATACTCATTTTCATTGACTCCATCTAGTATGGATACATCAAACAGAGAAGTTGTGGCAAATCTGGCAAGTCTTATATTTACACATTTTTCAAAGCACAAGGCGCGCGAATTTACTAACAAGCCATCGAAATCCCATTATGGGATTCTGATCACTTCTGGAGTGATCATCTTCACTCATAGTTATCATGCCATGGCATTTTCTGAAGTGTATCTTAGACAATTATGTGACGTCAATGTTCAAATCCTTATAATAAACACCTCTCGTTTCAGCGAGTATTGAATGCTAGCTATTGATACGACGAGCCTAAGCTCAAGGAAGAGCAGAATAAACCTTAGAAGCTAGAGAAAGGATATTCTATAACGGCCCTTTAATCGTTCTCAATACTGCTCAAGCGAAGTGCTAAGTTTACAAAAGATTCCAACACTGGGTAAAAGGACATATCTGAAACTTTGTCAATTAGTCTGCAGATTGGCTGAGCCGTTACATTTAAAATCCCAACCCAACGAAGATATGAAAGAACAGGTGTAAAAAGTTGCATCGGTGTCACTTGTAGAATAATTTAGTTTGAATTGAAAATGAGCTGTGGAGGATCGAGAACATTTACATTCGCTCACCTTCGCTTATCTTCCTTGTTTTCTCTCGTTGTCGCATATGGTTCTCTAAAGGCTATGGTAGTTCGCATCCTGGGCTGATACAAAACGATTTTCTGTCGGTTTTTGAAGGTACTGTTGCGCTATTATTCTCCTCAAACATTTTCTGGAAAAATAGTGTTGTTGTTGGTGATACTAGAGCTAGTTCAGGATTAATGCCAATGGTGCTTGGCACGAAAGTCAAAGCCACATTAAAGCCAAGTAAATTTGTACCGTAACTAGGATGTATCGCAGCAATTGTTATTGGCAATGTTAAGAAGTTGTTATAAAGAAATATTACTTCCTGCCTATTTTCTGCGGCACTTTCAGCTGTGCAAAATTAAAGAGGATGCTCATTTCGTGCTCAAAAAAGGAACGGTGCAAAGGAAACAGAAAGTCGAAAACTTTCCGACATTTGTCGCCTTTTGCCTCTAGCTCACAAC